TATTTCATATTCTTTAGCTCTTTATACATATATACAACTTGATGTAGTTAATTTTTAATCATTAATATTAATAATAAATTTGGTTAATAATATACGTGTTCTTGGTTAGTAACTTCTAGCTAGTAACTTCTAGCCACTTTCTGTCGATAAAAATTTAACAAAGTGTAAGTAGCAAAAAAAGTTACTAGAATTATAACTTTGTGTTTCGAAAACGAGTTTTTAAAAATTATTTTATTTTGAAAATACAAATTTACAAATTATTTTAACAAACAAAATTTTACAGGTAAAAGTTACCAGACAAAAGTTAAAATCAGAAAGTTATGAAGCAAAAGTTATCTTAGTTGAAATGTTCCTCTATTTATAATATAATACTGTGGAATCCAGTGGCGTAACTCCTCCCTCACTGAGTCCGAAAAATAATAGAATTATTTTTGGGATGCTGGTTTGTGGAATCTTCTTCAATGCCGGAATCTTCTTGTCATTCTATTTCATGCTCGTTCCGTTGTTTTGATCTTCTTTGTTTAATAATATATAGAATGATCAAGATTAGAATAACTGCTATAACTGAGGTGGTCACCAATGGAGTTGTATGCGAAGGAATATTTGTATCTCTAATTGGTACTAACTGTTTGGCCATATTATTAATTGCATAAAGATTTTCAAAGTCAATTTTGGTAATATTATGGCTCTGGAATGTTTGTATATTTTCTGTAAAAAAATATTTTATTTTTGGTAAAATTAGAGCTCTCCCTCTATGAATTTTGATATTGTTATTGAATTTCAGTTGGTTGATTATCACTTCACAATGTTCTGGTATACTGATGAGAGATGGACTGTGTACTTCGAAAATTTGGTCTCTCTTGCACTTTGATTACACTCGTTCTGATGTTGATGGCAAACGCAAGGTGCAATTGTCTTGTAGTATGGTATCTTCTTTACAATAATATGTTTCTTCTAAGATGGGACATTCTTCTTTTTGTAGGTGTGTCTCGTCAGAGATTCGTGCCAAATAAGGGTATGTGGGAGTGAACATCTTGTTCTTTTGAATTATTGGGTAAATATGATAAAAATCGAGGACATTTGGTTTTAGGATAGGAATGTGAGTAGCAAAGATCAATTTTGAATTTGAAAATGTTACTTGTGTCCCTAATAGCATGTAATATGTTAAAATATTTATAAATTTTGGAATTTGAGAAGGTTGGTAAATACTATGCAAATATTTGATCACATCCTGAATTTCTTGACTCGAAATAATTGAACTATGTTTAATTTTGAAAACATAATTCCTTTTGCTATATTCCATATCATATTATGACAATCTAAATTTATCTGACTTATGGTACCTTGAAAAGTCATATAATTTCCCAAACTGTATATATTGCTTTGAATTTCTAATTGAAACTTTTGTAAGTTATGTTGCAGTTTTTCTTGGTTTTGCCAAAGTATTTCTAGATATTTGTTGTAATGATCAATTAGTTTTTTATATAAAGATTCTGTTTGCAATGAACGTTCTCTCACAGAGATGCTTAGACATGAACCAAGAAATTTACGCCTGCTTTATTGATTTCGAAAAGGCCTTTGACAAAGTACAACATGAACCACTAAGACAAGTTCTAATAAAGAAAAATATAGACAGCCGAGATATTCGAATTATATGCAATCTATATTGGAATCAAACAGCAAATGTCAAGGTTGAGGGCAGACTAACAGAAGAAATTCAAATCCGTCGAGGAGTCCGGCAGGGATGTGTCTTGTCGCCACTTTTATTTAATCTGTATAGTGAAGCTATCTGTGAACAAGCACTCGAGGAAGAAGATCTTGGTCTGATAATAAATGGTGAGACGATCAACAATATAAGGTATGCTGACGATACAGTTCTCCTAACGGGAACGCTAGTAGAACTACAACATCTCGTTCAAAGTTTCAATATATACTGTAACAGTTACGGCTTAAAAATTAATTTGAAAAAAACTAAAGTTATGGTAATCACGAAATCAAAGAACATCAGAGCTAATCTTGTAATAGACAATACAACGATTGAGCGTGTGCCCTGTTATAAATATCTAGGTGCTTGGATCACAGACGATACTGATCAAACAAAAGAGATTAGATGTAGAATAGAAATCGCTAGATCAGTCTTTAATAGAATGCGCAAACTCTTTTGCAATCGTGATATCAATATAAAGTTACGAATACGAATGCTGCGGTGTTATGTCTTTTCTACCCTGTTATATGGAGTTGAGGCTTGGACACTAAAACAGTTGACCATAAAAAACATCGAAGCTTTCGAGATGTGGTGCTATAGGCGCATTCTTAGAATATCATGGATGGACCGCGTCACTAACACGCAAGTACTCCAAACTTTAGACAAAAGATGCGAAATTCTAAATGAGATAAAAACTAGAAAGATTGAATACTTGGGGCACATTGTGAAAGGTGAAAAGTACGAACTTTTAAGAAACATCATGCAGGGCAAAATTAAGGGCAAAAGAAGTGTGGGAAGAAGAAAAATATCGTGGCTTCGTAATCTACGTGAATGGTTCGGATGTAGTTCGATTGAACTTTTCAGGCGCGCTGCTAACAAAGTCGCAGTGGCCATGATGATTTCCAATCTCCGCTAGGAGTGGCACGAGAAGAAGAATAAAGATATTTGTAAGTTCGTCTCATGAATAATTTGTTTCAGATTATTTTCCAGTACTTCTATTGCTTTATTATATCTATCTCCGTCTTCTGAATCTAAATTTCCAAATAAGTATTTATTAACTTTACCTAGGCCATCAATTAGGCCTCTTTTTGATCGAATATGGGGATAGATGTTTTCTAATTTTCTCTCTAATGTATTAATTAAAACTTCTGTTCTTTCTAACATGTTTTCTGCCAATCCGTGATATGAAATAGGATTTGAGGCATTAACTTTCACTAGAGTAAAAAAAATTTTGTTTAAAATCCTTTATAAAAGGTATATAAAAATGCCTCAAACGGGCTATCAGGCTATCACAAACACATTGCAAAACGTTTTCGGATTAAACAATCCATCATCAGTGCAAACGGTTGTACATGCTAGTAGCCACCAAAATATATGGGTAAAAACCCTTTAAATGTTATAAATTTGAAGTTGTTTTAAATTATTAGTATTTCTAATTTGTGATGGTTAAGTTACCGTTGGATAGGTAACATGGCGGCGTATGACTCTACATGAGTAAAATGGTCCTGAGACGAAGTGTCTACGAGGACCTGTTGATAACAACTGTTGTTGAGTTGTTATCAACAGGTCCTCGTAGACATATATCTATTTGTTTCCCTCAGGCTTCATAAGAAAGAAAACGTTCTACCGGAGAATTCAAATTGCTGTTCTTAGGAGTAGTAAAATGTAATTATATTTTATGTAATTTACAAAAATCTTCTAGGTCATAATTTTTTAATTCAGTGCCGGAGTCAGTTGTTATTTTATAGGGTAATCCATGATGTGTAATATAGTTTAACAAACCATCGACTATTGAAATTCCACTAATACTAGGAATTTGATATGCTTGGCCGTATCGAGAAAATGCATCAATTATTGTAAGAAATGGTGTATTGGATATTCTAAATACATCCATATGAATATGATCAAATGGCTTAGAAGCCGTTGGTGTAAGATTAAATTTAATGACTGGTGGGTCTCTATCATATTCGTTTTTTAAACAAACTTGACAATTGTTGACATACTGTTCTATATCTTCTGACATATTGGGCCAGTAGTATCGTGAACTCATTGACATTTTTAGCTCATTTATACCACGATGTCCTGTTTTGTAAACATGATAATATTTAAGTTTTTCTTTTTGTTCGTCGGTAGTCTCAATATCATCTAATATTTTTGTACAGTGCCAAATTTGAATGCAGAATTTTTGAAATAATTTTGCAATGCAACTACAAATGTTTCAGGTGATAGTGGTGGTCTAAAATACAAGGCATATAATTTTCTTGGGTCTATATAATCTTTAACAAAATTTATGATTCCTTTTTGTAGATATCTTTGAGGTAAGATAACAAATAGTCTTGTGTTGTCAAATATCTTTTGTGTTTTAATTTTTATTTCATTAATTTCTCCATAAGTTGATAATATTTGATTTTTGTAAAAATTCAAGGCTCGGTCTGTAATTGGTATACTAAGAATTGGATTTTCATCTGAAATATGTACTGTGTTTCCATCAGTATTTTCATTTCCACTTGTATTAACATTTGGGGGTCTAATCTGTATATCTGATATTATGTTTATTCTTTTTTCTTGTTCATTCTTGTCATTTAATATTTCAGAAATTTCTTCATTGCTTAACTCAGGAAGATAAAAGTCATTTGAATCAAACAATTGATCTGTAATTTCTTGATTTGGAACTGATGAGTTTTCTATTTATTTTTGTATTACATCGTCTATGTCATCAAGATTTACACATAAAGATTCAGATTCTAGTACATTTATTTCATTATCGGTGTCTATTCGTGAAAGACAATCCGCAACTTTATTAAGAGTTTCTTTTTGGTATTTAATTTCTTTTGATAAATCTTCTAAGAGTCGTACTTGAACTTCATATTCACGTTTTAACCTAATTTCTTGGTTTTTCATCATTTTCATTTCTTCTTTTACACTAGTCACTTCACTTGTGAGATCCGAAACCTGATCTATTAGATTCTGTCTTTCATTCTTATGTTTATCAATTTCGTCTTTCTGTCTGTTAATCTCTAAAAGTTACCAGACAAAAGTTAAAAGCAAAAAGTTATGAAGCAAAAGTTAAGTAGCAAAAGTTATCTTAATTGAAATATTCCTCTATTTATAATATAGTATTGCGTAGTTTCTATTGTCCTACAATGTGCAGATTCTGTGGAATCCAGTGGCTTAACTCTAGATTTACTGACTGTCTGACAGTGGGTATATACAGACTATACCAATTTTTTTTTAATTAATTACCTAATTCCATTGAAAACGTTGGTATTAGTGAATAAAAATATGTATCTTTTAGGTAATCGACAGGTTAATAAGAGCACATGGACAAACTTTACATGAAATTTACACTATTCAAAATTCAACATTTGAAAGAATTCCCGACGTAGTTTTATGGCCCACGTGTCACGACGATGTTGTAAAAATAGTGACCTTCGCACAAGAAAATAATACAGTGATTATTCCTTACGGGGGCGGTACTGCTGTTTCTGGAGCTCCAGAGTGTCCGAAACATGAGAATAGAACGATAATTTGTTTAGATACATCACAAATGAACAGGATTTTATGGTATGTACATCAACTTTACTATTATTTGTTATCCAAAGAATTATCTAAAACAGAGAGGTATTGGGCTAATTAGAGCCTATTCAAATTATTCACTTTCTAAACGCTCGCTCGCTCGAGTACAGTTTTCTTACATAAAAAACAATAGGTCTAATAAAATCGAGTATGGTGCAGTAAAGGTTTAACACCGACCGAAATTAATTTTTGGTTTGTACTTTTTACCGCTATGTCTTTCATTCCGTAATATTCACATTGTTTTTTCTGAATCAATTAAGTTTTTTTTTATATATTCTTAACAAACAGTTTCGTTAGATTGTAAAATACAATTTTTTAAAACGGTCATTTCTGCACTTAAGGCAAAAGTGTTGATATTTAAAATTTTGCGATATTGTTCAATGAATTTCTCTGAACCCTCAAGATCTAACTGAAAAAAATGATCTACTGAATTGGCAAGCGCCATACTTTCTGGTGAGAACCTTTTGTTCAGAAATTCTCTTACAGTATCAATAATCCGGTAAAAAATGTTTGCCCTCCAATACTCAATGACTCCTACGTTAGCTCTGGAGCATGTGGCGTCTATCAAACCCAATCCTACGGTTGTTTCAGTGACGAAGTCAACGAGCTTGCTACTGGCTTGCTTTTTTCTTTTGGCTGACGAAATTTCCAATGAAATTTGGTATTCTGTGGCAAAGTTCGATATGTTTGTATGAAGATGGGCATAATATTGTTCATTTCTCATTCCATCTAACGAAGTCATAACACTTTTAATAATCTTAACTGCTTTCCCCAGAGTTGCACCTTTCTCCTGGAGGCTCTTTGATAATATATTTAAAATGTTTAACACCTCATCCAATACAAAAAGATGAATTATAAATGATGGTTGTTTAATGCTGGATAATATCCCAACTGCTGTAATTGACTGTTTATTATTTGTATGAGCAACTTCGTTTTCCAGTGTTGTGACGATTCCCTCGAAACATGTTTTAACAGCGTGGCAAGTCGTATATCGACACACCCAACGAGTATCTGACAGAGTTTTCAACTCCATGGGAACAATATTCATGTCCTTCAATATTTGTTTGTATTTTTTATGGTTTTGAGGATCTGAAAAATGTTCGTAAAGTGCTTCCAAAGTACAAAAAAATGTCGATATTGAGGGAACATTTTTACATGAGTCTACCAGAGCCAAGTTAAGTCTATGAGCTAAGCAGTGCGTGTAAATTGCAGCTGGAAATTTCTCTCGCATTTGTGTTTGAAGACCACTTGTATTGCCTGACATCACCGCAGCTCCGTCATAGAATTGCCCTACCATCTGCAAATCGCTAAGATTAAGCTCTTCCAATTTTTTGTAGATTAAAATGAATAAATCCGTAGCCGATCTATCTTCCGAACAATCAAGAAATGCAAGGAATCTTTCACGAATTTCTAAATCTTTCGATGCATAGCGAACACATAAAGACAATTGTTCCTTTTTGAAAGAACGAGCTTCATCACACACGATTGAAAAAGTTCCGGATTGTCTAATGTCATCAAGTATATTTCTTAAAGACGCCCGTGACGCCGTGGCAATAATTTCATTTTGTATTTGGGGACTGGTATAGTTTTTATAGGAATTATGTAGAATGTCAAAGTCCTTGTTATACTTTGCTATTAGGCCACATATTCCCTTAAAGTTTCCTTTATTTAATGAACTTTCGCTTTCGTCATGACCTCTGAAAGCCATGCCTTGACGAGCCATTGTTAAGGTTATATCTGCCAACATTCTCAAGTAATTCCTATTTTTCTCTATCTGGGTGCTATATGCTTGTGAAAGATGAGATAAAATATTTCCGCTTTTTATTGTCTTTTTATAATTATGCCATTTACTGAAACTTTCAATGTGATGCAAAGATGCACCATGTTTTTTTAATTTTTCGCCAGTTTTTTCCAGTTGCGGAATCCCACTATTCTAAAAGCTTCTTCATCCATAGCAGCTCCAAAATGACGACAAGCATAGCACGAAATGGAATCTGTTTTGACGCTGTATTCCAACCAATCAAAATCTTTATAATAGTTTGCGCTGAATGACCTCTTTTTATTTCCAAACATAGTTTGTGAAAATCTTTTAAGAATAGGTTGTGATACGTTTTCACCAAGTCAGAAGCGTCTATTTTCACATGGTGCGTGGTTGATTTTGGTTGAATATTCTGATCCAGATCCTTGCTTGTACCGGGCTGCTGTTCAGGCTGACTATTCTCATCCTCTTCCAGTGTAGTTGGTTGTATAGACGGTAAAGATAGTGAAGACGTTTGTCTTTTGAAAAATTTTCTTATGTCCATTACCTGCAACAAAACGAAATTGAAAGACTAAAGATAATTGCTTACAAAATTTCGTTCAATTTGAGTTGTTAGTTTTTGAGTTATTCGCATTTGGAAACGCCGACAGACAGACAGACAGGGGAACAAAAAACGTTCAGAATCGTCTGAAACGCAAAGATCTATAAAAAAATTTGGAATGGAACATTTTTTTCCCAATTTTAAAACGATCACATACTCCTCCATACTATTGTATGTACATAATATGGTGGAATCAAAAAGTTTAAAATCATCGAAATGAAATACAGTCCAAGAGTCTGAATAGATACAGTCTAATTTTTGATAGAGTTGATGGGTTGGCAACACCTTTTACAATCATTAATGAAAAAGGCAAACTGACACATAACCTTGACGAAAAAAGCTATAGATACTGAATAAATTGTTAAAAATAAGCGGTAAAAAGAATAAAGTAAACTTACTAACTACTACACTTACTTGTTACTTCTGTAGTAATACGCCAACAATTCTTAAATACAGTTCACTAATACTTCTCTATTGTGTTACTACTCTATTCTATTATCGCTCGCCGTTTTATTTTTTGCTGTACACCACGCTGTACACTGTCAAGCCACGTCAAAGTATCTAACTGAAACTGACTGATCTTTGTACCTTGAACCCGTGTTGGTGAAACACGAAACGCACAGTATTGTATTCCGATAGCTATAGTATAGGCGGTTGGTACGTTAATTTTTTTATTGTATCTTGTTTACATTGTATTTGCAATTTTTTCTTTTAGAATATTTCAAAGGGGCCGCAGGGCCATCAGGGGGGGGGCTGGCCCCCCTGGCCCCCTCCTAGCTACGCCAATGTGTCCATATGATCCACGCGAATGACGTCTAAATCCTGCAACCACGTCGGAAATCATTAACAAGGTTTATGATATAGTATTGAAAGATCGGAAAATAAATATTAAAATTTCTAATGCTGTATGAAACGTATTAGTCACATCTTGCACTAGGTATCAATATAATTTGCTTTATCCTGTCTGTCTTTCCGTAATGAAAACCCTAGCGCCACCTATCCACAAAAGCTACTACTATCGCTGTAGTAGCTGACGATTTGTTTTTAGTTGTTACCACAAATCACCTACCTCTATACATAGATGCTTCACGACAAGTTAGACAAGTCTTTAGTTAGATATGAAATTCAGCGCTTCAAGAGATTTGTATAGAAACTAATTCAAGCGGGAAATTACGCGGGAAGTTCAAAATCTAATGGCGGGAAAATTTAAATAAAGCTTAAAATATTTAAATATAGTTTTGTATATTTGAAAAAAAATTACATTTATAATTTTAAAATGGGCAAATTATTTTTAAATTAAAATATAAACAATACGGTTTACGAAAAAATAAGACAAAATATAATTTATTTATTTATTTATTACATGTAAAACAACTTACTATATAAATTTAGAAAACTTAGTAGACGGGTTCAGTAAATACAAATCAAAGGTTGAATTTCTGGTGGAGTAGTCATGATTAGGTGTTGCTGGAAAAACATATAGGTGTTTTGTAATTAAGCAAACACTTTCTAAAATATATAAAGAGGGAAGAGTTAAAATCCCGTGATTTTTGAAGTAGCTTTTTCAATATGTTATTCTGCTGAGACCAAAAAGATACTGTATTGCTCTTTTTAGAAATTTTAGAACAACATCAGATTGGGGCAGCCGTTCTAGACCCCCAAAAAAGGAGATCATATTGAAGATGAGACTCGAACAAAGAAAAATATGTTATTTTGGAAGATGCTAAATTGATTTCTATCGAAACAGATCTTATTGCATAGCAGGCTGAGGCTTCTAAGAAATTAGAAATTACTTCCATCAACACGTTTTTAATTTGAGGCGTTTTGCACCACCTCTGCTACAAAACTGGTATAAAATAGATGATTTCCATTGTTTTCTTAGACCTCTTACTATAAAAACTAGAACATGATACGCTATATATTAATCATCTATATCATCTAAATCATCTATACACCTACTATGCTCATTATAATGAAGACTTGGCATAATCGCCATTTCATCAAATATTATAGCTATATGCTTATCAATTCCTTCCATTTTTGATATTGTTGCTTATAGTGACTCAAATATTAAATGATGACTTATTGGGTAAGATAAATAGATTGGAAAGAATACTATATGAACGAGCACTTTGTTTTTATAAAGATAAAGTTAAACATTTCTCATTAACAGTAAATCTTCTTCTTCTACTTTTTGTAGATCTTTCGATCTGGTTAATTCTGAAGCTGCCTCTGGTTAATTTCTTGGGAGGTAGATTGCCAACTATCCCTCCATCTTTTAGGTGGTCTTCCGGGGGATCTTGAACCGGGCGGATTGTTTTCTAGGGCAATTTTTGGGAGTCTATTCTCATCCATTCGTCTTACATGGTTGTACCACATCCTCTTGCGCTGCCTTCCCCATCTTACAATATCTTGAATTTTGTACTGCTCTCTAATTTTGTATTTCTCACTCTGTCTCTTCTTGTTTTTCCCCATTATTGTTCTTAGGGTTTTCATTTCGGCAACCCTTAGCATCTGTTTCGTTTTGTTGGTATCTTCGCGCACTTCTATGCCATATGTCATGATCGGTCGTATGCAAGTCTTATAGATTCTAATTTTACTATCTGTGCGCATATACGGATTTGACCA